TCGTTTTCCGTCTTCAGCCGTTGCCATCGGAAGGTCTCTGTAGATGCTGGTATATAGGACCAAATTCAAAAATCGGAATCAACGGACACAAGAGATCGTTTTAGACAGGTAAGGCAAGGCACTTAGGCAGAATTAAAAAAAATAATTATAGCAATAAACCACAGCCCAATATCATATAAGTATTCAAAAATACAATAACTATTCGCAACGAGCAAATATTTCGGGCGTTTTACGCTTTCTGGTAGTGTTTTTAAGTGTTACTAGAAATGAACGATGGAGCCTTCTAGCACAAAATGAGGTATGTCTACGCTTGGTTCCAAATTTAGGTTACCTCCCTAAATGTCCCTCACTTTAGTCGACAAACACGCTATTACTACACCACGTTACCACCCAATGTAACACATTTTATAATACGTGAAAAATGGGAAATTAACAAATAAAGCAACACAATCCCATCGTAGACGAATCCACACAAAAAAAGCTTTTCGCTTTTAGAACTAGTTAAGCGAATTAAACGATTCTGAGCCGAAGACACTAAAAACAGCAATGTGCGAAAAAAGCTTCCTACGAAAGTTTATAAGTAAATTACAAAACGCTAGAAGAGAAGGGAACGATAAGATGGACCGTGATAAGAGAAACTTGCATTCGAGGAAGACACGAAGAAGAATCGGAAAAATGTTGGCGATAATGTCAAGTAGGACAACAATGCATGCAATACCGGCGGTACGATTCTAATAACAAAAAAAAAAAAACGAGAGTTAGGATTTATCTAGAAAGCCAACAGAAGATTGTTGATAGCAAGCAAACCGGAAAGTCTGTGTCTTTCGAGTCGCAAAAAAATCTTATAAAAGCTTGTTCAGGATGGAGATCTTTAGAACTACTGGCTCCTCACAATAGTCATTGTCCTGTATCTGTATTCGAGTAGTAGTGTGAATAGAGGACAAGGAAATCTTAGCTATGCTATTGATTGAGAAGGACTAAACGGGGAAATAATATCTGTATGTTAAAGTCAATATCAGAGCTGGCTACAGGGCAGGGCGGGAAACTGATTGGATTTGTCGCGCTCGAAGCTAACAAGACATACGACAAGGTCAGTAGCAACGATGGAAGATACTAGGCGGATCAACATTAACTCTCCCTGTGACGCCCGGATCTTAGGTTTTTATGTGAAAAAACAATGTGATCTAAAAAAAAAACCGAGGAACTAATATCGGCACGTACAGTATCGTCGATCCTCGGCGTATATAATTGAATTAAAAGAATAGGTCATACAGTCAGCGACAAAAAGAAACGATTTTGTGTTAAAACCCACTCGGGTAAAAAGAGCTTTGAAGTGCCAGGATTTTATCGCAGACTATCCGCTCCTTATAGCATATACTTGACACGACGTTAAGACCTTATTAAATACAACATTAAACATATTAAACAACTGAATCGTCCTTGACTGATATTTAACCCGTTTAAAATATAATATTTACCTTCTTAAGGGAAAAATTATGGAAAATTAAGCCTTACAGGTTTAAAGGGACGCACTAGCCGAACAAAGGTTGTACCAATATTTAGAAATAATTTAATAAGAGCAAAATTACAACTATCAATCGGAACAGACCGACAAATAGCCTCACTTATTAGCCTATGGGCGGTACAATTGTGACCGATTAGAGGACAAAGAAAATACGAGGAACGTTGGAATATGTTCGATACCTAAAATATGAACTGCGCTAATCGCCTTCTTATGTTAAGCAGCGTATGACAAAAGATACAAGAAAATGTGCTATAATGGACTAATATTTCGAGTTTTACGCGCACTACTGCTTCAAACGACTAGCTCGCAAATTGATCCGGTCTCGAGCCCAGGCCACTTAACATGCTCTACAGAACTAGCATTGCACCATCATAGGAACGCGTAGTGACAGATTTAATATCATGCAGTATGTGTATAAACAATAATCAGCCGTGCTGATATAAACTTGGCCGTGATACCCACACTGCTTTCGATCTAAAAGCCTATTAATATTCAAATAGGAAAAAAAAAACTACACGCGTATATGTGCTTGCTTGGAAGTTTTTCTAAAATTATGCATGCGATTAACGATTGCGTTTAAAATCGATAGCTATTATTTTCTACGAGTAAGTCCTTCTCTACAAACACAGAACCGTGTCAAAAACATTGTTGATTTATTTAATTCAATTAAATCAAATTCTGTAAGCTTCTGCCGTAAACTTCTAACAATACCCGTCTAATCTTGGCCCTTTCGACGCCCGTTTGCATTCGAGTTTTGGAGAAATCACGCTTATCTATCTTTTCGAAACGCTTGTTTGCACCTGTGTAGGATAGACGTCACTTTTCTACGCTTACCCAAAACCTACTACTAAGTTTGTCGCGTAGGGGTAGATTATACTATTTCTTGACTAAATGAAGGTTCGAATTGCATGTAGTTAGCACAGGGCACAAAATAGGTCTGCTTTTGTTCTGTGCCTTTCTTTGATTCCTTCCTTCCTTCCTTCCTTCCTTCCTTTCTTCCTTTGTAACCTTACACTATTCAATTACCCGGCGTTACAATTTACGTTTATCACGATTATTAGGATGAAGGACACTGCTGTGCAAATTTATTCTGTTAATACATCAGTTTTTCCAAGCTTTTGCTTCGTACGTTCGTTGATGCGTACGTTCGATTACCACGTCGCAGTGCAGTGTTTGCATGAATTCCCAGTTTTTAACGTATTACTTTGCATTCCCACATCTTATGTTTGTCCTGCTTTCTTTCGTGGAGGTATTTTCGTTGTTATTACCCGTTTGAGATGTGTGCTATTGATGTACTAAACTGTTTGTTCGAAAAAGAGATCCGCTGCTGGTAATTTTACGACGACTGCTGTGCTTGTAGAAACGGTAGCGAAAACAGTATGTGCAGAATAATTGAGAAAGTCACAAGTGGCAAACAATGGTCACAGATGTTTAAAAGTTCGCAAATTTTAGCGGAACCGCCCCGTGTAAAAGGTATACTTGGAATTCTTATGAATTGTACAATATTCTTCCAACTTCGACGAGGCGGATCGATTTCAGGTTTATAACCGAAAGTTTATAATCACGCATACAATTCTGACGTGCAGACTTTGAAGCGTACCTGAAATACTATTATAACAATGTTACGATCTTGTTAGTCGTTGACAATAAGATTTATTAAAGTTTGGCACACTCTATATATACCCATACTGGAGTTTATGTAAGTGGCATGTTCGTTACTGGCAACGAATAGTGATAGTTCTGCCGAGTGCGCCATATTATTAACTATTGTAAGCGCCCATCGTTAAGTTAGTGCTGATTTAAGCCAAAGGAGTACTCCTTACTCCTCACTTATCAAACACTTTAAAGAAACTTAAATATTGTCTCTTTCTTTAATATAAATTTCACATATACTATATTTATAAATAAGATTAAATGTAGCAATACATATTTCTGCAAGAACAATTTTTATTTGACAAAAATACATATAGAGTGTTGAAAAGTTTCTAATAGGATGCCGAATGATGATCTGTCGAAAGGATGGTTTGCTTTTTCATCGGGGCCTGCCCTGAACGCTCCATTTGCCGAGTAGGAGGAGGATGGGCAGTTCTTTTTATAGCAGACTCGCTTTCGCTACCAGCCCTTCATTTAAGGTATACCCTATACAAAAGCCAAGCGTTCCTCTACAACAACTTTATCTTCCTTTAAGATATATAAATATGCTTCATGAATTAAAAGAAGAGCTTTATCAAAAGAAATTGATATTTTCTTATTCTCTATTTGTTTATTCAATTATTCAACTATTAAATTGTTGAAAGCCAGAGCGAGCTGCCTTAAGATCCTCGGAAGTCTTGGCTGTACTTAGTAACTCGTCATAAACTATTTAATTGAACTATACGGAGCGTGGCTGACTACTACGGAAAGCGTCATTGACAATACTAATAACGTATTTGTTTTTGGATATTTTCTCCTATATATAATTTTTCAAGTGTGGTAATTGTGCAAATGACTAGCGAGAACTTCGATTTGTAGTGATCGAACTAAAACAGGCAATTATTCAGTTGTTTCATTGTGACCTATGTACAAAAGCCGAAATTTAACGAGATAAAGACGTCTCGTCATTGAAGTACAATTGTTGCAGTATGCATAAGTGCGTAAAACCGTGTGCTGTAAGAACGATCCCCTAAAGCGTGATACATTGAAGAGATATTATTGATTTGCACAATTATACCAAACAGAACTGAATAATCCTATTGAAAAGAGTGGTAAGTTTGTTTGCTCTTTATTTTAGAGTCGTCACGCAGTTCTACGAGCTTGAAATTCTTTGTTTTTTCACAGGAATCTAGTTCTTTTGTATATTAAGAATTTTTCAGATTTTTACGTTTCATGCTGCCATTAAATATTATTTCAAAGGGTGACCTTCGACACGACGCCAAATATGCAGACGTTCCGTTCTGAACCAAGATCGTCTCACGTGTCGTTAGGCAAACATGTTACCACTGCGCTATTAGAGGAACGTGTTTCCGTAGCCGTTAAAATCCTTCGAACCTATCAGAGCATAGCAAAGGGTGCTTGAATTGTTGAACTGCTGAATCGGATGAGGTTGATTTTTAGCATCGAAAATGTATAGGATTGTTTCCCTCGGGAACACATTACATAAACAAAAAAGCGCAAATATATCTTCTCAATTATTTATTTAAACTTCCTAGTACACTGTAGTAGGTTTCCAAAGGGCAAACTGAATATGATCTATACCAAACGATTCCCTAATATGGGTTTCTTTTTCGCTCTTTTTTCTATACGACAAGCAAAACACCTAATGAACTTTGAAAGCGACGGATCGTTGTGAGTTATAGCATGGTCACTTCTTTCCTTTCCACTTGATTCCTGCTTGACGTCTTACTGTAACCTGGATGATCGGACTGCTTAACAATGAATCCCCCTCGAAGCCTACTCAGCCTCAAAGCGAAACGAAACTTGAACAGATCTGACTTACCAATTTTTGACTCCGGTAGTATGCATTGTTTAACGCATGTTTTAGCTTGAAACAGTTATTTGTTCCTTGTCACGAACCTCACAAGACACCACAAAGAGTTTCTTATTAATTCTTTTCGACACTCAACTCACTTCGTCACGAATAACATTCCCCAACGAGTTAATTAGGTACGGCGTCTCATTTTATCATTTTCTTTTATAGTCGTTATTGCGTATGTGTGAGTTAAGTAGAACAGGGAATTTGTTTCAAGTATATATTCATCTTGCATATTCTACTTATTGTTTTCGGCTCCTTATATCTCTTTGTGAGTTTGAATCCGTCCACGTTTGTCCACCTATTCGTACCCGTCCGGCTAGCTCCCTTTCCAATTTTCAGCCGCGAAAGGCCGCACAAAATTAAAGGCACGTCCGCCACATTACTCACAATTCGTAATTCACTTTAGTGACGAAAATAGTCAAGAAAGAATAGCAATTGCGATCTGATTGATGTCGTTTTGAGGTGGGTCGCCGATTTGTTTTAATAGCGGGGGTTCTCCGTCATCAACCTAGCGGCGACAGCGGCGACTCTGGGGAAAAATTCGTGAAGGTAGACACAGTGGAGCGGAGCTGCTGCTATTCGTTGCAGAGAGAGGCATATACAAGAAGAAAAACAGGGAGAGTACGGCTGGGGTAGCGGAAGAGCGTGAGTAGGCGCCAGCCAGGCCATGAACCGTTCAACGAACCATTGCACGACTGCCTCCCAACAGAGGGAAAGAGAAGGGAAGCTATGTGTGGAAGAAAGAGTAGCGTTTCTAAGATGCGGGGTCCAGAAAGAGGAGGAGGGGGGGGGGGTAAAGGCGGAAATGAGAAAGAGGTCTGTTCAGTTACTCGCGGTTCTTGCTAAGTTGACGGTGACGCGCCGCTTTGCTAGCACTAAGCTCTAGTAGCACTCCTCGTTCCACTTTTGTAGGTTGTCAGAAAGGAGAGGATGGGCGGAAAAATGACCCGCCATGGAGGCTTTGGAAAGGGAAAATCACACTGTTTATGGACTTTTAGCAGACGAAGCGTAAGTGGGTGTGTTGCACGAGGCCCGACTATGAGCTACAGCCGTTGCTTGCCAACTTGAGGACTTCTTGAACTAACAGTACGAGGAATAACTTAACATGAGCACAGAGGGTAGCTTCTTGGAATTCGATACCCCGACAATATGGTCCAAATGGTGGAATAACCCAGAACTTATTCGCTTGTCGACGCAAATTGTAACTAATGTGAAGTGTCTTCCTAGAGCTGAATTTTCAAGAAAATTCAGCATACTGATTCCAGCCCGGTACAGCCTGGTTTAGCTTGAAATGTTAGCGCAATAAAATACTAATACAGTATCGTGAATAAGATTATAATCGTTAATAATAATTATATAATTGTTTTTGCTAGATAAAGTAGGAGAAAATCGGGCACAACGAATTAAAAAATTGCGATTAAATAAAACATGTTAAAAATTGCTTACAATTTTCTAAAATGAAAATTTTCTTTTTTCAGATATGAGTGGTACACTATAGGGCATTCTCGACAAGCAAAGCCTGCCAGCAAAATATAACAAGAATCATCGCAGCCGCTTGCGAGTTTGTTCCAGTGTGTTGGGTCTTCACATAGGTTTATGTGGGTTTGCTTAAATAGGAAAAGTTTACGTAGACTGTCGATAAAATATGCCACATGTGGATCTCCAGCTGTGATGAAATGTACAATTCGAAATCCGTACTCTTCGTTTTAAAAACGTCGAACTTCAGAGACCTGTCTCAGTGATTCAGGCATTTTGTAACGGTGTCTATGACATAATAACAGTGTCGCGTTGATAGTGTAATGGGTAGTATGTGGCATGGCTTGAGGGTGGTCTGGATTCTAATATGAGTGTGGATATACTCCGTTCTGTGCTGGAAACCAACGGCTTGGTAAAATGCCTAATGGCGATGCCGGACGTAAACATCAAAAGATTTAGGTATAACATGGCTGGAAGACTATACATTTCAATCTTCCTGTATCAGACGAAATCAGTTGAATCCATCTGTATGCCGAGAGATAAATAATCCTCTTGAAGTTTAGGGCTTCATGAAAAACTAGGCGTCCTAGTGTATATTTTATCCGATATTTTTCTTGGTTAATATATTGACCTTATTATTTCGATATCACAAAGGTTTCTTATTTTTTGTTTTACTTTAGCCATACATAGTAAACTAAATTAAATACATAACTAATTCATGTACTATGTTGTGTCAATTATTGTGTTGAATCTGTTCGCGAGGGATCAGCAAGACTTTTCTTGGAAGTTTCGTTGCTTCTTTTTCACAATAATGTCATGTACTTGAACATGTTACGCTAAATTAAAAAACAAATATTTGATTTAATAAGCTCTGACTTGTATATTAACCATGTTTTGATAATAACCATCCATATAATGTCTACGTATTTACTGAACTGCTGAAATTCTGTTTTCTTTTGTCTGCCTGTGCAACTCAAACTGGACCTTCAGAATAACTGGCCTGCGCTGATTTTTTTTTCGGGGAGCTTCATCCTGGACAAAGCTGGGCGGAGGGTAGAACGCCTTGCTTAAATACTTTTTCCTAGAAACGAAAAGTTAGTTTTCCTGGCAGGGTATAGTATTGATCCATTGCAAAAAATTGATATGATATCAAGTCGGCTAAGCCGAAATCCGAGGCGATGCAATATATCGACTACGCATGTTCTACAAGAACTCTATTTCCGTAGTGCCCCAATCGTGCTACGTCAAAATGGTGTCGCGTAAAAGACTCCTCAATATCGCCCAGACGTTTATAAAAGTACCACTCCGCAATCGAGCAATAACTGAAGTTAGGGGTTTGTTGCAAGGCGGGCTACGTACTAGTATAGGCCAATGAGATAACTGCGGAGTCGACGCAGGACTATTGGAACGCTCTAATGGGAGAACGGGGTACGTGGAACTGCAACAGAATAAGTATTGTTAGGAAACTGGGAGAATTAGGGAATTAACAGTACTACAGTCAGATGACCCAATTGGTAGGGCAGTATCTCAAAGGAGCTGGAACAGGGTCGTATGGCTTTGTGCAAATAATTCATACGATACGATGTGTTAGGCTATGTTTAACACGGATAAAATCCATTATTAGAAGAGGCTAAATGAGCCAGGTGAGATATGGTAATTGTAACGGGCTAACTATTGGTCTAGACTACAGTTTAAGATAGACTGGGTGTAACATCAGCCATTGTGGTTCGTACCTGAAACAGGTGTGTTTAAAACAGCGAACCGAAAGAATCAAGAGTGGAGCGAAACCCGCGTGTTCTTTTATGTGTATATATTACTAAAACTGCTGATTTGCTTGTTGGCCGCAAATCGACCCATGTTGACATTAGACTGATTTTCTATGGACTCTAAGTCCTTTTTTCAATGGAACGTAATGTTAATTTAGATAAATTAATCGTTTTTTTTTTTGGAGCTAGCTTGATAACTGCTAAAGATTTGTGAAACATATAGGCGAATTAGCGTACTCTGTAGAATGGGCGCAACATTTTTGAAATTGGCGGGATGGAGTAGTAAAGCGGTGACTCTTGCCGAAGTGGTTTATAATGGCTTAAAGATGAAGCAACTTAGTTTGCAAGAGTATAACAGAGTTTCAAGAGAACTGCGAGCAGACTGAATCAGGGAAGGAAACCGCAGCATTTCGGGTGAATTGCAACGAAATAAATGTAAAAATGTAATTCTGCAATCAAACCATGGTCCTTTCGGCTCACTGTACCCGATAGTGTCTGCTCGACCGTCAAGCACGTTATGGCCAAAACATACACACATCACATGCTCAGGCATTGAAAAAAAATGTTTGATTTCTGATGTGATTAGCTGAACACAATGATTGCAGTTGTTCTAAAAGGACATGCGCAAGAATGAACTCAGGTCCACTACCGTCAAGCCTTGAAATGAATAAGGTAGCTCCCACTCGGGACATCCATGCTGGCTAGAGAAACACGTATCATTACTACCTTCCAGAAAAAGACCCCCAAAAATAATTGCTTTGCAAGTAGCAAGGGGGTCAGAGCTTACTAAATCGACCTGTCAAGTGCTTTTCTGGATCATACTGATCCGTTAAGCCGATAGAAACAAGCCGATATTTTACAACCTGGCTTAGTTGTATTGCAGTACTAATTTCTTCCTGAAGGACACAGGCATGGCGAGTGCCGGAAGGAATGTTGGACCGGCAAGTGGTAACCATGAGCTGAAAAATCCAAGCGAAACACCTTGAAAATCCGTAGCACAATAATCATGAGCTTGCTATCAGCAAATCAAGTCATTTTAGTACACTGTAAATAAAAAAAAAAAAACAAGGATATGCCGACAAACGCCCATGCTATCAATAAAATGATCCGAACCGAAAAAAACAGCAATTTGCCGAGCGGTACTTGAAAAACTGTGGAAGACAGGATGCACAGTTTACGGGAAAAATTGTTTGGAACTATATTTAACTTAAATAGCACCACTAATTGATATAAGTGGACTTATCGGCCAAGGCTAAATCCATATGTTTCGAAGGAATATTATTTACCAAAGGTTAGTGTAATGCGGAAGCTTAGACAAACTATTAGTTAGGCCATTTTTTACACGTTAATAATCACCGTTGGCACCCGCTTATGTTCGGAATAATCGCTGGAATCATAATAATTTTTAAATTCTACAGTAGATTCTATGACAATTGAACTACTAACTATATGAAGATAATAGCTGAAATTCTAATGATTCAAACTGTATACATTTTTGGGGACACTTTACTATGTATCGTTTCACCTTGTCTTTCTCTGTAGATCTACAGATTTGATTATTGTTTGATTGATAGAGGTAGAGTATTGATTTTTTTTTTTTAAATTTCCTAAGTTCACTCACTCGTATTGGTTTGGTATGTGCTGCCATAACGTTTTTTTTTACTTTTATAGACTGATTTCTCTTGAAGAAAAACAATAATCGAATTTCGTTATATGTTTGGTTTTATTTGCTGTAAAATATGTGTTACCAAATAAACTGATGCAATAGTCTGATGCGATCTAATGCAGTTTCGGACATAAAACTTAAATACGATTTGTTTCTCACATATAGTTTTCTAGATTTTGAACACTTATGACTAGACATCAGCTGCTCAGTTTAATCGGAATGGTCCTCTAATTATTTGGTCGAATTTCCGCGGTGGCCTCGTGGGTGCGATGTCCTGAGCTCCTAGCGACAGGTTCCAGCGTTTTATACTTGTACTACGTATAAACTAATTGTTACAAAAGATTCATTAGCATTAAGTAGCTTCGCGTGAATAGATCAGTGGGTAATCTTTAGCTGTCGTACTGTACGGAGGGCATGGGCCATAGGCATGGACAGTCGCCGTTAAAAGTGGAATTGACAGCCGGCTGTGTTGGCCCATTAAAGACGTGGTGCGCTATAAAACGCTGCACTGCAGTAACGGCTTCCGATAGGATTGCGGATATGGAGGCGGATGTGGCCGACTGAAAACAAAGTTTT